GGAAATGTATTAAATGTCTAAATCTATATGTGGCGCGTGTGTGATAGACAGAGACAGGAAATTACTCCTTCCAATCCTAATAATAAATTTTTTGTCAATAATACATTTTATTTCAAATATACATTCGATTTTAACAGGCATATATTATATTATTATTTATTTTTTTTTGTTTTTTCTGTCGCCGACTTGAATTCGGGGTCGTTGTCGTGGCAATAATAAATGGCTGCGTTCTGCACTGTTCGTATTGGCCCGGTCGCGATATTACGCGGACGCTATTGGACAAATCCACATAAACAAATCAACCAAAATTAATGCGATGACGATGCGTTTATCTTAAATATTATTATAATTATTATTGAAATTGTTATTATTGTGAACATTTCCAGGGGCACTTGCAATTTGGCCAATATGCTCAATACAAACGTTTAGTGAAACAGAAAAACTAACCAAAAAATTAATATTTAATGAATCAATTTACTCGATTTATATAGCGTTTTGAGATATCAATATTATATAAAACATACTTATACGTGTAGCGTATGTACATTTATTCATTATACTATAACATGTATTAGTTATTATTATCTTTTGTACTTTTCTACTCACACATTATTATTACGGATTTCAAGTAACTTTATACTTAAACTTTCACTGACATAATTTTACAGGTTACAAGATCGATGTGTTTCAATTTTATCAATAATTAAAAGTTATTTATTTTTATTTAATAACAATATAATTTCAAAAAATGAAAATATTTAGAAAGATTTAATTAAAAAATAAATATATTGATGAATAACAAATTTTCATGATAAAAATAATAAGTTTATTGCAAAACAAAATTCACGGAATATTTAATAAGTAACTTAAAAAAGTTATCGTTTTCTACGAATAACTACTTCCTTATTTAGTCACTTAGTTTAAATAAGTCTAACTTGTGATTTAGCTAAATAAAATTTAAACATTACATGCTATTATTACTGGTTTAAATGCGCTGTACCTACTCAGTGGTGAACACGATACATATGTATATCAGAAAATTTCTCAATATCAACACTTGCACCCATGTGTATAAATAAAAATTTGGCATTTCATGTGAACTATCGTCATCGTATTTATTTTAATGCCATAACGAGTATAATGTATCGCGGATATAATACGCGTGATGATAATATTTTACGTGTGCGTACAGAAAACTTGCCGTGAAAAATATGTATTATAAAATTTTAAGAATGGCGGATAAGTATGTATGAATGTACCTATAAATGTTTTAGCGTACGTATATATCTCGAGCGAGTTGTGATTAGAAAATAATTTTGATCTTTTCGTATAATCAACTGCATACAAATCTGCGTACACGACTGTAGGCACCTACTATAACTAAACATGAAATTTGTTTAAAAAGATAACGTCATATTCGTGACTTTGATACCGATGTGTTTGTGTAACAAATATTTTTTGAACGAACGGAATTTATTGTTTAGTTTGAAAAATCATAGTATACAAATGTTTTGTATCGTTCTTACGGGCATGTACGAAATTTACAAATTAGGTGAAACGCGCAAGTTTCATCGGGAAGGCCGCGAGTGTACGGGAGTTGCGTGAATAGCAACAAACTCACTGCAATTATTTCTGATAAAATTGAGTTCGATCATGTTTATGATTTTTTAATCCAAATCTATTAATATTATATTTTTGCCTTACTCACATTTTTGTTCTATAACTTTTCCGGTACGTTTTCCTATTTAATTCGCAGTTTCTCTATTTAAAACTATAATTTATTGGTAAATCCACTAATAATTTTTCGATTTATAATTCGTGTTAATAGCACTAAAAATGTATGAAATACGCTTTTGTTTGGATAAATTATAATGTTTAATAGTATGCAACATAATGAAATGATACTAAAGTCCGGCATGTTTTGTATTATCTACTCTTTGTGTTTGTACGAAAAATAAATATCTGTAATCGTAAAGCGTATTAACGTTAGTCAATGCTTTATACATTGTATATGTTTATTAATCAATTGCACTGTAAACCAAAATTCATTAAAATTTCATACCAATAGAGAATATCAAATTAATATAATAACATATTTTCATATTACACCACAATATTGTAATAATAACATAATCTATTTATAGGGCAATAGCCGTCTACGTACCATAATATAATATGTAGGTGCATAAGAACACGATTATTCATTTATTATAAGGTTATACATTCGGATGTATTACACGGTGGATTTAAAGAATAATGGAAACTATCCGTCGATGTATGCGCGTTATCGTTAATACAGTTTAGCAAATATTTAACTATATCGTAAATCGTTTTCCAATCGTAAAATAACAATAATATTTGTTTAATATAATTGCTAGTACAGGTACGCGCAAGAGATGTTTGTACTATTTTTATTTTTTTATTTTTTATCAATATCTATTCCAATTTTATGATACGATAATAGTAATAATAATAATAATAATAATAATAATAATAATGGCCACTATAATAATATGCCTTGTACTTATTATGTATCCGTATTACCCGTTGAACGCGCGGGATACAATATTATTATTACTTGGAGCGAACGCAAACGCTTTGTTTACGGGTATTGGTATATTTATGCAATATTAATGAGATGCCAATAATAGCAGACCGCGTGCGGTAACGGAAAATAAAATAAAGAAATAATTCGACACGGTTAACAATGGTAGAGGTTAATTTAACTGATAAGAAAGTAGTTTTCGGTATATAGACCGTCGTCGCACGGGCCCTATCGATAATAATAGGACGACGTACAGGTATTTAGTACATACTTGTGCACAGCGGCCATCATGTGTATTACGCGCATAATATGTACTCAACGGCCGCGTGCACGAATAGAAGAATAAAAATATATACGATAGTTTTTAATAGAAGTTGCATATAAGTTGCTATACTATGATATTATTATATTCTTATGTGTGTGCTACGACGTTATTATATAAGCAAAACTGCACGCGATTCATAATTTTTCGCCGTTTATTGTTATTATAGAGACATGCTCGGTAGTATTATAACGTAATGTGTACCGTATTCGTTACGAAGAACATTATTATTGTAGGAACGTTTTGGAATATAAATTTATTTAATTTTTTTTTCTGCTTCCACAGCACGCCGTGGTCTATCGAATCCGAATGAAACGTCGGCGGGGTACAATATGTATACTGTCCTAAACGAATTACAAAGAATAACCGACAAAATACGTTATTTTACGTATATATTGTAACAACATTTTACTGGCACACGTTTTCGGTTTCCTATTTTTGTTCACCGCGCGTTGTATTGCTTTAAATATGATCGGCCATTGACTTACCATTATCAATAACACGTTCGTTAACACATCAAGAAGTTTTAATGCGCTCACGTATGCGTCCGGCCGATTTGTTCAGAACTTTTCTATACGTGTTGATAACGAATTTGCCTTTATTATTTACGTTGACATTTCAAATGTTTTCACTGGCGTGGTGACTACGGTTTTTTCAATAAAATATAATTTTATTTACTCTATGCCAATACAGGGACGAACTGAGTATCGAGTAGTCTGGTGGATTCATCAACTGGATTATTATCACATGTTTTATTCACTTACATAAATAATAACAAAAAACATATATTGTATTTTCTATAGGAGTGTGTATAATTTTTATTAATACGTCACTATTGAGGACACGATAGGCAAGTGCCTCTTTACCTCGCTAGCCAGTCCGCCCCTGCGTTAGTGTATTGCAACGATTTCTAAATTGTGCTCCGCGGAAGCTAAAGGTTCCGTAAATGTATGTAAATATTGAGAGCAATAATTTTTATATACAATAATCATGAGTTATATAATATAACACGTTTCGGAGTATCGGTTTTTCAATATATAATTGAAAAATTAGAGTTAAGTTGAAGTTAAAGACTTTGGGGTTCCAAGAAACACGAACTATTTTCTAAGGATTCCAGGGTTGTAAACGTTTGAGAACCACTGGTCTACTGGGTATCGTGACATTTGACGAGTTAACGCAGTACATACGATCTTGGAGCGTAGTAAAACCACGCAGTTATTAACAGTTTAATTCTGCTTCAATTAATTTCGTCCTTAATGTCGTTAAATTATCAAAATAAAACGATACCGTTTGTCCGTTGTTTTGGACTATCTGTGACTGTATACTTCTTTTATTTCAAACATAGCATATTCGTCCATCACAATACCACGTCACACGGCGTATCGATGAAGGAAAATTAATCATTGAACAACGGATTTAATGAGATTTTCAAGCCTGCGGACATATTATAGCGTCATATATCAATCGGCTTGATAGTGTACCTATACATACTCGTCAACCACGAAATGATATTCCCAGCCTATTCTTAAAAAACGAAAGATTTCTCTACGCCGTGGGCATTGTTTTGAGTTATTGGGGTTTTTCAATACATAAATGCAGTAGATACATCGGCTTCAAACACAAATATCCGTGTTTATATCTATCATACACGTACTCTTTACTCGGATATATTTCTTATATTTGCGTAAAATCGAACGGCAATAGTTTGTACGCAGATTTATCACGTATTACAATTGTTAAACGGCTAAATCGCGCATACGTAAATAATTACGAACGAACACAAGATCGATTACGTTTATCGTGTTGCATTTGTGCAAGTTAACCGTTCGGTTCAAGCAAACAACGGAGTGGTTTTGCACTTGATGCGTAAAAGGTTGTAGAGGATCGGCTGAAATTTCGATAGCACGTATTCGCCCCGTGAACACGCGATAAAACGTCCGGATACATGAGTCCTTGGTACACGTGGTTTAAAACGTCCTAAGCCCTCCTCTCCCCGAACCGGACTAACGTGTAGCGGAAGTACTGGTGCTTTTTCCGTTCGCTTTTTATATGTTTTACACGCGTTGAAATAATGAAAAAAATAAAATAAAAACGAATTGTTCTTGATCGATTGTTTGTTTTTCGGCTGCGCAGGTTGACCGAAGAATTCAAATTGCAAGCGCACGGCTTGCAGGACTCACCGCACCACCAGGGACTGTACGGCAGCCTGAGCAGTTCGCCGTCTTCCGGTTCGCCGTGCCCGGTGTACGCGTACCAACCGTACCACCGGAGCTACGGTGCGAGCCAGTACCATCAATCGACGGCTGCCGACGTACAGCAACAACAGCAGCAGCAAATACCCGTCACCCAAATGGTAGTGCCGCCGCTGCTGTCTGCGCAAAAGTCTTCGGACGACGCCGCGTGCTGGTTGCAGCACAACGGTGGCGGTTCCGCTTTCGACCATCACCTGCACCACCACCAGCTGTCGTCACCGTACCATCAATCGCACCACCACCAGCAGCGGCAACAAGACATGGTCGGCGGGCAGCAGCAGCAGCAACAGCAGCAGCAGCAGCAGCAGCAGCAGACGGCCAAGATGACGCAGCAACAGCAGCAGAAAGCTGTCAAAGAGCAACGGATCCGCCGGCCCATGAACGCGTTTATGGTGTGGGCCAAGGTGGAGCGGAAAAAGTTGGCTGACGAAAATCCCGACTTGCACAACGCCGACCTCAGCAAGATGCTAGGTGAGTTACATATTCTTCGATTACACGTACTGCGCATAATTAAACGCGCGTGCCCCCGGCTAGGAGGAAACATTGTGGAGCCTCCTTTGATGAATTTTAAATCCGCATTATTATCGTACCCATCGCGTTTGCAGGGCGCGCATAAGAGTGCGGTATAAATTTTTAAATTTTCTTTAAATCTGGTGCAATCATCACTGCGGTTACGTGTTGTAGACAAATGTAAGTTCTACGGTGACGTTGCAAGTGCAGATCTCGGCATTAAATACGGCACCGTTTCGGGGCGGTACGCATGACGATTACAATAATTTTTTTTTATTTTGCCTTTGTTAATAAACATTACAGCAAAATTACAATCTTTTATACCGCATTTGCAGGATGTTCGTTGTAAATTCTTCTCGGACGTGTCGTATACAAAATCATTACATAACGTTTATAGATTATTACTGCAGCGAAAACTCGTAGGATTAATGAGGTTCTGCACTGGCTGTAATAAATAGCCCTTTATGTATTATACGTAACGATCTCGAAATACTTGATGTTGCGAATTCGGCCAATACTCTAGCGGTGCATTTTTTATTTTATCATTTGCATTATGTGTTACGTACCAAATACCCGTCGTTAACGTCCTTTTCGAATAAATTATCAACCGTTCACCGTGTGCTTTGCATACGGAGGACAAGTCATATATTATTGCTAACGAGAAGTCATAATACGGCGGTGAAAAAAATACGGTGAACGTACAACACATAATATGAGTATTTTATATACGTACACGTGTGTATGAAATTAGTTTGATCGCATCCTATTCGCGTCGATCAAAAGTACAACGCGTTCATGGAAAATGTGCCTACACCTGCACCGCAGTGTGGTATGAAGGTAACTTTTTTTATTGAAAAAAAAAATCACCCACATACAGCAAACCGTTTATTATTAACTAGACATATATTATGTATATTGATAGGCATTACGGTTACATATATCGTTGCAGCTGTCGTCACAGCGACGCTATTTATATGCAAAGATAACATCGATGACACACACATACACACACACCTGTTATGATATTTTTGGTCGCTGGATAACCTAGGACCACGTGCGGTACAACCAAAATAATAGAGGTAAAATTGCGGTACGTTACTAACCCAATAAGTAAATAAATAAATAAATAAATAAGAACAAACAGTCCCGCAAATACACATAAACTCTATATATATAGTATGTGTGTTTGAGTAGGTATTGTCTTTGTCCTCTATTTGTACATAGGCGAGATGTGTGTACATTGTAAATATAAAGGATATAGGTGTACTTATATACGGATATTTTCTCGAGCAACACGAGCTCGGTTTCTTATTGCGCACACCAAACCCGACTTACCCATATAAGGGCCAAATGCATTAACCTCGACGAAACAAATAGAACAAAACGCCCCTGTTTGTATTTAAATTACGTATCCCTTTTTCTTTATTATTTACTATTACTATTATTATTATTATTATTATTATTATTATTATTATTATTATTATTAT